AGGGCCAGAACAGTAACCACCAAATATGGCAAGCAGAAAGATGAAAGATATTTGTTAAGATTTATACATAACTGGGGAGCAGTAAACTGGTGGCAGATTACACAGAAATGTTTTTGTTATCTGTTTTATTCAGGTTTGACATTTTAAACACCTGCTAGGAAGTACCCATTTATGATTCATAAATGAGGCCCCTTAATGGATAATTTTTTTGGAATTTTGGAAGTAAATTTTGATATATTTCTCTTTTCACAAGAGGGCTGATTTTGTTTAATAGGAATCGTGTACTACATTAGATGTGGTTTTGGATATCAAGGGTCAAAAAAATGGACTCTCTTGCACTGAAGCATAATGTATCTATGCTTCAGAGTTCCGTTTCTGTCCGCAATAAACAAGACAAGGAATCTGTTAACCTCCAGGCTGTAAGTAGCATTCTGAAGAACAGAAGTCAGCCATGTGCCTCTAAGTCCATCAATGGACAGACCCACCCTGGCCCTACACTCTTCTTTCCACAAGGTCACTTTGACATGTGCCATTTCTTGCCTGTGCATCTGGGTCATTTCGTCAGCTCCTAAGTGATAATTTTAAGATGCTTGTTTTAGCATGCAGAAGCCCCTGGTAGAGTGGAGAAAAATAAATGAACAAGTATGTTCATTGGTTTTGTGACAGAGGCATGTAAAAGTACAATCTACATTATTGCCCTTTGGGCCATGTAAATCTTTCAAGGTAATAAATGTGGCCAATGCTTGTCAAGGCTTACTCAGTACATCTTTGCCATGTTCATTTATGCTGCACAATTTATGAGTTTGTGATTTGTCTGAAACATACTAATTCCAAATGTTTAGGAAATAATAATATCCAAATTTGTAAGGTGGAATTCAGATGAAGAATTGGAAAGTGAATCCATTTTTGGACAAACTGTATGAGACCCAGTAACATCAGCCCTATTTTATACTCTTTTTCAATAGAATCTGCCCCTTTTCACTCAGAGAATCACCATCGCCCCTCCCCTTTCTCCCCATTTCTGGCTTCTTTACCTCTGTGTAACTGTTCATCCTTCTACCAACTTAGAATGGTTACCAACCATACCAGAGCTTAATCTTTTATTTTTTTTTAATTGTGGTAAAATACAGATAACATAAAACTTACTATTTTGACCACTTTTAAGTGTATGTTTAGTGGTCTTGTATACATTCACATTGTTTTGCAGCCATCACTAACGTCTAACTCCAGAATACTTTTCATCTTGCAGGACTGAAACTCTGCTCCCATTAAACACTAACTCCCCATTCCTCCTTCCCCCAGCCCTTAGCAACCACCATTCTGCTTTCTGTCTCTCTGAATTTTATTACTCCAAGTGCCTCATATAATTTGATATATAAAGTATCTGTCTTTTTAAAAAAAAAAAATAATGTTAATTTATTTTTGAGAAAGAGAGAGAAAGAGAGGGAGCAAGCGAATGGGGGAGGGGCAGACAAAGGGAGACACAGAATCCAAAGCAGGGTCCAGGCCCCGAGCTGCCAGCACAGAGCCCAATGAGGGGCTCGAACCCATGAACTGTGAGATCATGACCTGAGTGAAGTTGGGCGCTTGAACAACTGAGCCACCCAGGTGCCCCTAGTCTGTCTTTTTCAACTGGCATATTTCACTTAACAAAACATCCTCAATGTTCATCCACATGTCATTGTATTGTATATACATATACACATATATATACATATTTTAACTTTCTGAATATTATGATATTTTGATATCTTAAAAAACCTTTTTTGATTGAAGAGAGACTGCTCTTTTGGGACTAGCCAATTCTTAGAGATAACAAAGGGCCTAGCCAGGAGCATACCTTTGATATGCAAGCTAACCAATCCAGAGCCATACTTCCTCTCTCTGATCCTTACACTGCAGGAAACACTGTTCTGCCTTAATCATCCCAGGACCATTACAGACCACAGGAAGTATTCAAACTAGTCAGTCCTACCTGTTTATCCTGCTCTCTGTGTCTTTCCCTTGGAAACCCTGTTTATGATCATGGCATAAATGTCTTCTCCCTCTACCTTGCCCTATCTTCTGTATCCTGACCACCGTGGTGTCTTTCCCATGTGGTCCTGAAAGGCATATCTCCTGTCTCTAAGACTTGTGAGTATAATAAACTTTGTTATTTGGAACCTCTTCTTTTGTGGCCACACATGGCTGACCATCACATAAAATAATACAAAACAGTCAGAATTTCCTTCCTTTTTAAGGCTGAATAATTTTCCATATGAATATACTACATTTGGTTTATCTATTTATCCCTTCCCAGGTACTTGGGTTGCTTTCACCCGTTGGCTTTTGTGAATAATGGTGCTATGAACATGAGTGTACAAATATATGTTTGTTGTTAAATCTTTGGAGAAGTAGAATTGCTGGGTAATGTAATTCTATGTTTATTTATTTATTTTTTAAGAACTGCCATGCTGTTTTCCACAGTGGCCATATCATTTTGCATCCCCACAATGCACAAGAGTATCTTTTTCTGTATGTGCTTGCCACCACTTATTATATTATTTTTTCAATGTTACCATCATAACGGATGTGAAGTGGTATCTCGTGGTTTTGATTTGCATTTCCCTAAGAACTAATGATGTTGAGCATCTTTCATGTGGTTAATGGCCATTTGTATATCTTTAGAGAAATGTCTAAGTCCTTTGACCATTTTTAAATTAGGTTTTTTGCTTATTTGTTGTTGAGTTATAGGATTTCTTTCTATGTTGTGGACATTAACCAATTATCAGATATATGATTTGCAAATGTTCTCTCTAATTCTCTGGATTGCTTTTACACTCTGTTGACTGTGTCTGATACACAGAAGTTTAATTTTGATGTAGATTTATTTATTTATTTATTTATTTATTGTTGCCTGTGCTGTTGGTGTCATACCCAAGAAATCATTGTCAACTGCAATGTCATGATCCTTTACCCTTATGTTTTCTTCTAAGAGTTTCATAGTTTTCAGTTTTACCTTTAGGTTTTCGATCCATTTTAAGTTAATTTTTGTACATAGTGTAAGGGCTAACATCATTCTCTTTCATGCAGATATCCATTCTACCCAATAACATTTGTTGAAGAGACTGTCTTTTTCCCATTTAAATGATCTTGGCGCCCTTGTCAAAGTTCATTTGTCAGGGCCTAATCTTGAGCCTTTGAATTATAAACCTTGAGCCCACCTGTGATCTTTCCCAAGTGCCACTGTCAGAGCCATTTTCTTAAGAAGCTCCTTTTACTTTAGCATGGTACTGCTTTATAAGATCATTTGCTTCAAACAATTTCCCTGTTTTGTGTGCACATGTATGCGACTGTCCGTGTGTGTGTGTGTGTGTGTGTGTGTGTGTGTTTATTCCAAACTGTTATTCCTTGAAACCTTCATTGCACACTTAATACTCATTTGGCACTTCCCACTTCAGGTTGTTAAGACTTTATGTCTGTAGGTCCTTTTTCATGTAATGAGATTAAGAGCTCTGGAAGCCTAAGCTCTAATACCATAAAACAACCAGAAAACTCTCTTGCAAAAAAGTAGGTTCTCAATGGACTGACTTAACAAAGGCTTTTGTATGACATCACCAAAGGTTATGCAGTGTCTGGTGGAGACAGACAACTTGCTGAATCCAATGAAGTTGAAGAAAGATGCTACTATTTGTAGTAGTTAACAAATCTCAGTCTAAAATGAAGAACAGTCATTTTATGAAATGTAAACACTACATACATGATATATAGAATAGTGTTGGGTATTTTCCCAAATTCCAACAGCTTTTTGAAGCTAATATGACTTGCTTGTCCTGACAGATGTTAAGAGTGGTTGGTGCGAATTCATAATCATTGTTTTCATTTTCATGGAGGCCCAGAAAACATGGCTTGGGCTACAGACTGCTGGATATGCAATTTAATGAGACTATGAGCTCAGAAGTGCCACTTATAGTTTGAAAAGTAGAGTGAAGAAGTTCATTTGTGAATTATTAGTTATTTAGCAAAACTAAAGGAAGTTTATTGAAATGATTGCAGATACAAACACTTTTGTTTCCATAGAAGCAATTTGTTTCATGTGCAAAGGTTTAGAGTCTTGTTCATGTTCCTCTGGGGCAGAAATATTCTGAAATCGGGGCTGTCATTCCTTTTATCAGTTGCTAAATACTGAGGAAAGAGAACCTCCTTATTTTCAGAGGTCATGAGCTCCTGACTCTTGCAATCTCATTACTGGTCCCTACCAAGGAAAGAGAAATTGTTTTCTTTCAGGAGAAATTAAGCATTTTTACCTCTGATGCACAATGTTGGGTTACAGTCTCTCATCATATCCATTTTATGCCCTCGTAGTTGAAACTGTAATTCCTTGACTTACTAAAGTGTTGTTTTTAAGTTATAAGATTATAAATCTGTGATATGTGTAAATGTCTTTAAGTTCTAACAATAACAATTATCAGTATTCATTATTCTTCCCTGATGCATGTACTCTCCAGATCTTTGCTTTGAGTCACTTTGTTTTAGATCATTAGCTAGGCAGTCAGGTGATGGATAAGGAACGGGAGCCATCCCAGATATTACTCATCACTGGGGTTTTGCTTTATAGGAAACTGACATTAAATTACTTAGGTAGTGTCTTTTGTTTTTATCATTTTATAGTTGTTTTTTTTGGTTTTTTTTTTTTTTTTTTTTTTTTTTTTTTTGCTGTATAATCAGCTTAACAAATATTGCATAATATCTTTATAATCATCTATTTCTGGCAAATTTCAGTGTATTAAATGTCCTTTTTCCCCAAGAATTTATTAAATACAAGTAAGAATCTCTCATCCTTTGAGAATTTTAAAAAGGAAGACAGGGTTTGAATTGCAACTATAAGGCAAATCCAAAAGAAAATCCACCCTTTCCAACATACCCATGAGGTGTTAGCGCATGAGTCAAAGGAAGTTGAATACTGCTTTCCTCAGTCTCTCTGGCTCAAAGTGTTAACACACATGTATTTTTCTCCACAGTAAAACCGACCGTAATTGACGTTGACATCTATGTTAACAGCATTGGTCCTGTGTCATCAATAAACATGGTAAGAAGCTCTTTTCTGATCTGAGCACCTCCTCATCACTTCTTGCTTACATCCTCATTGTGAGTTTCTGCTCGAGATTTATCATGCAGGTTTAAGCTCACAATTGAATTCTTAAGTCTATAGCACTAATTGATAGTTTAAAAACTGAAAATAATTTTAAAAAGTCAGAGTGGAGTTTATGACCCTAGTAGTGAGACATGGCTCTAGTGTTTAAAAGGTACCTCATTTCCTACCTTGTCCACACATGTATTTATTGCACATAGATTTTCAGATGAGATTATTTGCAGTTATGCAGTCATTGATTATATATTATTTCATTAATATTAGGGATGAATATAAATGACAGCTTTTGACTTTTGGTCAGTTTTTCAGGACTTTTAGTGTTTTAGTGTTTTAGGACTTTAGTGTTTTGCTTTAGGAAAGCATCTGAGATTATCCAGTGTATACTTTTCTCTTCAGTTTGAACTATGTGGGTAAATAAATTATCTTTTTCTTTTTGGAACAGGAGAAAGTATGAGATCAAGTATGTGATTTCCTTGAGAGGGTATTTTCACAGACTTAGAGGCAAAATGAGCTCCAGAAGTAACTACAATGTGAAAGAAGGCTTTCCCTGTAAAAAAGTGCTTAGCTATGAGGAAAGTGTTGGGATGCTGAAATACATTAGTGTAAAAGTGTCCTGCAAGATGCTACAGGCCGTGGTGTGGCTCCCTAAGTGGTGTGCAGGGTTCCAAGACCACACATTTGCATTTGTGGACCCAGTGATTGCAGGAAATCTTGTATACTGGGGACCTTCTTTGTAATTCAGTGCTCCACACTGGCTCCTGGATTTGGGGGGTGAGGCTTCAGGGTGGGGGGATTGCCAAAATGCTGACTTAGATGCTGTCTTTTCATTGCAATGTTCTGTGGATGGAAATAATCCCTCCAGAATTAGTAGCAAAATCAGTTCTTTTCATTGCCAGATATTAAAAGTGTTCATTTTTTCTCTGATGATATAAAGTTTTCCATGTAGGGGAAAATTATATTTATGGGTGACTCATTTAAAAAATGTGTCATCCATAAATTGGAGATGGGACACTGGCAAAGAGGTGAAGTGAATAAAAGAGAATTCATTTTACACAGCCTATAGGCTACAGATTGTAAAATGTAAATTGTAAATGTAATATTTCCTTTCTTTGATAAATAATTATTTAGTTGACTGCATAAAAAGCATAATAACTTCTTAGTTCATTTGTTTCTTATTCTGGGGTTTTGTTTTCTTACATTAGTTCCACATTATTTATCACCCTTATGTCCAACCCTAATTTATGTCTAATACTAAGAAAGAAGTGCCTCCATAGAGATAGAGTTACAAAATTATTTTAGAAACAACTGCTTGCATTTGTATATCTTATGGATTTTCATAAGTTATAACTTTGAGATCTACTTTGTGCTCAGGATTAAGCTTTACTTTTGGAATTGATAGAAATTTCTGCCTGGAAGTCATAGGCTTCACAGGAGGAGCCTAAGTGACAATCACCCACAGAATGCTATAAGGACTCTGCTAACTATAGGCAACCTCTTGGGAAAGCTGGCGGCCTTTGGAATAGATTTCTCTGATGAGGTCTCAATCTGAAACTTGATCGATAGACAGAGATTTGCCAAGTGGAATAGCATGGGGAGGTCCTCAGTAAAAGTCAGGAAGACGGGTGTGTGACCCGATTGGGGAATGAGGGGCTGGCATGTTATTTGAATGCCAAGGGAGCAGGGTGTGGGTAGGCAGCACCTTGGACCTACCTGGGACTGAGGCCCTGGAGCCTTTCTGAAGAGCTGGGCTTCATCCTTAGGTTTTCCTCAGATGGACGTTGGCATTTGGGAAGTGTGCAGACCCACTTTCATCTAAGTTATGTGTGGGTCATAATTCATGAGATTAGTTCATACCCAGCAATATGTCTAGTCAGACCCCTTTTCTCCCTTTTAAAGAGAGACAGAGAGGAGTGCTTGGGTGGCTCAGTCAGTTAAGCGTCTGACTCTTGATTTCAGCTCAGGTCATGACCTTATGGTTGTGAGATTCTCTCTTCTCTCTCTCTCTCCCTCTGCTCCTTTCTCTCTCTCTCTCTGTCTCTCCGTCAAATAAATAAATAAATTAAATTAAAAATAAAAAATAAATTATCTTTAAAAATGAGAGAGAGAGAGAGAGAAAGTACATGGCATAGAAATGACAATGATTTAAAATCATTATTTAAAATAATTTACTCTGACCCCTTCATCAAGGTGGGGGGAATGATCTTAAAATGGTCTGAGGTGTTGTAAGATCTCCATCATCTGAGAAAAATAATGAGCTTAAAATAATATACATCCTGTGGCAGACAAACCAAAATACTGGTGTTAGATTTTTTTAACATTTACTTTTGAGAGACAGAGAGAGGCAGGGCATGAAGAGGGGAGGGAGAGAGAGAGAGAGAGAGACAGAATCTGAAGCAGGCTCCAGGCTTTGAGCTGTTTGTTAGCACAGAGCCTGATGTGGGCCTCAAACCCACAAACTGCGAAACCATGACCTCAGCTGAAGGTGGACACTCAACCGACTGAGCCACACAGGCACCCACCAGTGAGGAGATTGAGTAAAAAACTTTTCCAGTTAACCCCCCCCCCCCACCTTAAAAGATGTCCTGAATACCTTGAAAATTCATTGGTCCATTTTTTTTTTCTTTCCAGGAGGTGTGTCTACTGCAGTGAAAGGCTAGAGCAATAAATGTTGGTTGCCTTTTATTTGTGAAAGTGAAGCAAGTGTCTAGGCAACAGTGGGCAAGAGGAATGACAGGAAATGCATTGCTCTGGAAATAGGGACATGTTTATTATGGTCAGTTCTCAGAAGAGCTAGAGTTGTCTAGACTCTAGCTACCCTGTCTGCTACCAAGAGGAATATTATTGTACTACTAACTTATGTCAGCTAAGCAAAGTGTAAGGCGTAGGCAAAGGTTTGTTACATAGATAGATAGATAGATAGATAGATAGAGATGATAGATTGATCTAGATACACAAAAGTACATTTAAATATTCAAGTCCTATATTCTCTGGGGTGAATTTCTCTATCTCCATCTTTCTTCATTCAGTAAATGTTTGCCATATGACTGTTGTGTGTCATGAATGGTGCTGGGTGCAGGTTAAGACAAAGATGAATGGAAGGACTAAGGTTCAGATTCATGAACAAAGCATTATGGTACACAGGGGGACAGAACAAAGATAAATTCAACACTAAGTGTCCCGGAGGAGAGAGTATCCAGTAGCGCTGAGGAATGTTTCAAGAGGCTCATTAGTCAGGAGCTTCAGAATGGTTTTTTCACCACTGAGTAGTATTCCACTGTATGTATATACATGTGGAATATATACGTATATACATGTGGTATATATATGTATATACCACATCTTCTTTATCCATTCATCAGTTGAGGGATGTTTGGGCTCTTTAACGTGGATGGAACTGGAGGGTATTATGCTAAGTGAAACAAGTCAGTCAGAGAAAGACAGATATCATATGTCTTCACTCATATGTGAAATTTGAGAAACTTAACAGAAGACCATGGGGGAAGGGAAAGAAGAAAAATAGTTACAAACAATGAGGGAAGCAAACCGTAAGACACTCTTAAACATAGAGAACAAACTGAGGGTTGATGGGGGGTGGGGGGTCAGGGGAGGCAGGGAAAATGAGAGAAGGGCATTGAGGAGGGCAGTTGGGATGAGAACTGGGTGTTGTATATAAGTGGTGAATCACAGGAATCTCCCCCCCCCCAAAACCAAGAGCACACTATGTATATTGTATGTTAGCTAACTTGACAATAATCATATTTAAAAATTAATAAAATAAAATAAGCAGGTGGCAGAAAAAAGAATTGCTTTTATAAACATAAATGTTTATTTTTTAAAAGACTTTTTTTTAGAGCAGTTTTAGATTCACAGCAAAATTGAGAGGAAAGTAAGAGATTTTCCACATACTCCTGCCTTCACATATGCACAACCTTCCCCTTGTGACCACCTAGTGACTAATCATCACTCAAACATTTGCTTTAGGTTCACTTCTTGGTGATGTACATCTGTGGATTTGGACAAATGTGTGAAGACATATCCACCATTATAGGATCATACAGAATAGTTTCACTACCCTAAAAATCCTCTTTATGCATTTGCTTCTTGAAGGATGACTATTTCTAACCTTTATGGTCCAAACTTGGAAACCACCAAACTTCCAAACTTTGCTTGGAAGTCACATGATAAAGGAGTTCTTCTCGCATCACTGAATATATCACATACGTCCACTCTATCTATGACACCAAACAATGCAGTTTCAAAAGAATGTAAGGTTCTTCAAAGTGGACCTCATGAAAAATAAAAGCAATTTAAGAGTAGGGGACTGATGGTGTAAGTGGGTATTGGGAATTGAGTCAGGAATAATAAAAAAGAAGAATATGGGGCAGAACAAGAATATCAAATTAAAGAATATATTATGGGGGGAAAAGCACAATTTAGAGATGTGTATGGGACTTAAGGACGTAAATTTTTATTGGGGTTTTGACTGTAATGCTTTAGTCTTACAGGCTTTAGCCTGATAAATTTATTCCTTTCCTCCTACCAAACATTCATTTGAGTAGAGAGAGAGAAAACAATAATTTCTAGTTCTTTTTCCTGTCCTCCCTCCCACTTTTCTCCTTCTTAAATTGATATTATTAATACTGAAGATTCAGTTTCATACATTCTTCTTGCTAAATAAAAATGAAGCTGCATTTCAGTCTATTGTTTAACAGACTGATTTCATTGTCTTGTTTATCTGAGAATTGCTTATGGTTTTTCTAGTTATTGAATAAATCAGAAATGCTTACATGGGTTGAAGAGAATCTTATTTTTTGTCATCTTTAATCACATTCTCTTTGTCACTACAATATATCTAAATGTGCACAGTTCTTTTTTAAAAATGTTTATTTATTTTGAGAGAGAGAGGAAGAGCAAGCAGGAGAGGCAGAGAGAGAGAG